TTTTTTTGTTTTTCGTTCTGTTTCAATGCTATTTTTAAGTTAGTCATGACGTGAGATGAAGTTAAAAGGCTTAAGTTAGATGAAATCCAACCAACCTTGCTGTTTATAAATGTTTAATAGTCCGCAATATGGCGATCACCTCAAATTAGCTAAAATTTCTCTTCCGGTAGTTTAGGAACATAGAACGAGCATTCATACCAAGGAGTTGAAATGTGGCGATACATCTGATTCTGAGGTTAGTCTAATTTAATTTTGAACCGAACATCTGAGAAGAATCCCTCTCATCAGTTCAGTGTTTGGCGCTCTTTCTTGAGTCCTGTAAAAATGATAATCGCTGCTCACTCTATAATAACAGGTTACTTGTGTAGCTATTGTTTCTAATTGCTGCAGCTCAGTAATTCTCCAAACCTCAATCGTGATACTGATGACAAGATCTTGTGTCATTGAAAATTTCTCTGTACAACAGAAACGAGACAAAATCGCGCGCTAAAAACTGAATACCTCGGTATCATATGATCGAATTTCCACTTACAACAAAGCTAGTTTATGGTCCCTGAACTGAAGGAAATGCGACAAACATTGAAACTCTGTACTGTACAGAGCTGTGCACGAGTAGATGGGCACTCCAGAAACGACATTGTTTTGCTGTTTTGGGAAATTCTGAATAATCTTGTTAAGTCACGATGTGAGTCACTAGTCATAACAATGGCACAAGCTCTGATTTTAGGAAGAAAACCATTGATATCTCATGCGAGCATTTTTGGAAAATATTTAAACACCTTATGTAGCCATTAACGAATTTACGTTTACAATGAGCAACTCGGTTGGAAACAGAGCGTGTTTGTTAATGTCGTAGCTAGTGGGAACCACTTGTCTTTTTCTTTCGGTCTCACTTTAATTTTTCGAGTGGAATAGTTGAAACCATTAGAGCGTTCTATCTGTGTACCTGTTACTCCAGATTTTACTAGGTACAATTCTGTTATTGATTTGAAAAGCATGCTTTGTTTCAAAGTCAAAACGTTATTTTTTCCCGTTTGGAACAAAAGAAAGTAGACTTGGTGGCCGAATGGAAAGTCTAGTATCAGTCTCCTACCGAGTGACCAATCAAGCTATAGGCTAGTGGCGAATCTTTAATATAAAATAAATAAAATGAATAAACTGGTTAAGTTTCTCTTTACGGTAAATCGTACGCATTGCATTGCGGGGAGGCAATTCTTCATTTGGACTGGGAAAAAAAGAAGAAATTAATTTTAAGCCAGGATTGGTGAACCTCGTGAATGAAACGCAAAACTCTAATCACTTAATTATTGTATGATGAGTTGGTGTCAAATCGTCACATTCAAAATAAAGATAATTGATCGCCATATCCTACTTGTGAGTCTATGAAAATCTGATGTTAAGTCATGTCAAGAGAAAATGAGGGTCCCCTCATTTCACATGCATTTTTCATGAACAGATTCTTGTAATTTTACCATGAGGATCGTGATGATGATCAGTTTTCTTATCTGTCAAGCTGCTTTGAGTCTCACAAGGGCTGCAGGTTTGTACAAGCTAAGTTTAGCCTGCGTAGCAAGCGTTTCCGTGGGGCTGGGGAGCAAAGAAAGACCGAGGAACGGGATTTTGGCCCTCGCCCCATTTTTCGCGCAGGTAAAACGCCGAAAATCCCGTTCCTCGGTGTTTCTTTGCTCCCCAACCCCACGGGAACGCTTGCTGCGCAGGCTAAGCTGAGCCATCCACAGGATACTGATTTCTTTTAGGAGGGGACTCCCATATGAAGAGGTCGGTGATCCTCGAAGTATCGCTTAGAGGTGTAAACCACGGATTTTGGCCTCACTGAGGGTGTTGATGACGAAACGCCAATATTTTAAAAAAATAATTAAAAAACGCTGTCATTTCCATTTCAAGTGGTATCTTTTAGAGGTCAAATAAAACTAGAGCCACGCCTAGATTGGTCTCCATTAGGGGATTCATTCAAATTCTCCGACCAGCATTCCCGACTTTTGCACATGGGAGTCCCCCCGGATTTACCCACGATGAATAGCTTTATCCATCCTTTTAACAACCGCGGCCTAAATATTAATTTCCTATACTTCACCTTATTACATGCCTTCCCTTTTATGCACCTCCATGTGGCAGTGGCGTATATACCTAATTATCGTAAAATTGTTTTGTTTTTTGTTGCAGATGATGGCAATGAATATCAAATGACACGAGCGTCGAAAAAGTCAATTGAACTACAAACTGCTTATGTTTACCGTAAAAACATGCCAAGAAGACATCACTATTCTGGTGGGGAGATGAAAGTCACTGTAATTAATATTTGCTCTTTAGCAATGCATATGGCTTTTTAAACCCGGCTAAAAACTCACTCGCCCCTCGGCCATACCCCTCCTCTATCGCAACACACATAGTTAGGAATTAATATGACTAGTATGACGAGTTTCTTTTTTCTTGACAGTGATCTTAGGCAGCAGTGGTAAGACAATTCTTGGACCTCTTGTTCCAGAGTCTGGAGAGGAACAAATCCACAGAGTGCAAGGGTTTGTCCTCAAACCGGACACCATCAAACTAGGTTGGTCAAAAGAAACTCGTAGCACTTCACAACTAAACATAAAAGATCTCCGCTTTCTTCCTTTACATGTAACTAAATAGCAACACTTTGATCCAGTAAGGACATCAATTCAACGAAAACCGTCTGAGGCAATTTCTGGTTTGAATTTAAGTTTCGGGCTTCTTAAACGTAACGATTTTTTAAACTAGTTCCATATGTTCTCGTCCTTGTTGCTAGGTAACATTTCCTTGTCCTTGTTGCTAGGTAACATGGTGTTGTCCTTGTTGCTAGGTAACACGTTCTTGTCCTTGTTGTTAGGTAACATGTTCTTGTCCTTGTTGCTAGATAACATGGTCTTGTCCTTGTTGCTAGGCAATATTTCCTTGTCCTTGTTGCTAGGCAACATGTCGTTGTCCTTGTTGCTAGGTAACATGTCGTTGTCCTTGTTGCTAGGTAACATGTTCTTGTCCTTGTTGCTAGGTAACCCCACCGAGTTTGCTGGAACAGCTCTGAACACTCACAACCGTTATCGTATGTATCACCACGATCCACCGCTAAGGTGGTCTGATAAGCTGTCATCGCAGGCAAATAAAATAGCGTATCAAATGGTGAAACAGTTCAGCAAACAAAGCTCAAAGAGATTTGAGGTCACGGAAGAGGAGAGCGTGGGGGAGAATGTAGAGCGGTTCCTAGGCGTGAAGTTTGGTTGCGACTCGGCCGCGGCTATGAAAGCAACCGATAATTGGTATAAGGTATGTAAAGAATAGTTAACAATTATTCCACGAGTGCGTGTTGGGTATGAGATGGTACGTAGGCAACGAGACACGTAGCGCCAGGAGCCTGGTAACGACTAGTTCGCTATAGTCATCTCATATCCAACAAGCGCGAGTAGAATAATTCTTTTATTAAAAATGCCTCCAAAACGTAGAAAACAGAAACAAAATAAAAATAAAAACGATCAAAAAAATTGTCCGTACGCTTGCCATATTTGTAGAGCATGGTATAATGACTCATGTACCATGATGACGTAGCCAATGAAAACTCTTGAATTGCGCTATCCAGTGATCTAATTTTTAATAAAAAGAAATATGCTCTTACTCAATGTGAAGTATATAAGAGGCAACAATAACTGAAGTACAAAGAGGAAAAGAAATGAAAGAGACCGGGAAAGGTAGAGTTGAAGATCACAAAATTTGGGCCACTGAATTTTTTAAGATACAATGTTTGTGACATAGCTTCTTGAGTGTTCGCAACAGGACATTGCAGCTGGCTTAGAACGTAACGACCTCAGTTACAGTTCGTGATATTAATCATTTCCTTTTTTCTTCCAACTAGCAAAGCAAAAACTACAGTTATAACTATCCTCATATTCAGGATGGAACAAATTCCTTCACACAGTTGGTGTGGAAGGGGTCGCGGTTTTTTGGTATGGGTTGCGCTCTGCGCAAAGGTCTGCTGGCCAACGACGTGTTTGTAGTGGCTCTCTACAGTCCCCCTGGTAATGTAGGCGACGGGGTATCGGTTAATGTTTTGAGGCCTGGACTCAAGGAACCGGCAAAGCCCGACGTGTACTCCAATATATTCAGAAGAAACAAGGTCACGTTAACTGAGAATGAAAAGGGCAGTTATATTAAAATGAAAAGGGCAGTTATTTGAGACAGGTTAGCGTTACTATGATAAACTGTGGACACGTTTTAATTGAAGTTCAGCACGTAAACCATAGCCTGAGAGCAGGCTCACCTTTGAGTCACACGCGCGAGCGGCCAAGAACTAAGCGATCGTGCGCGGTGGAGTCTGGTGAAGAGGCGCAGGAAACTCTCTCTTCTTACGGCTTCGCCGCACGCGCTTGTGCTCCAACGTGAGCCTGCTTGCAAGCTACGAAAACCATAGCTAGGATTAATTTAATTTTTATATTGTTAATATAATTCGACTGATACCTAAGTATACTGATTGCAGTTGCCGCTTCCCTTAATAACTTCACATATCTCAGCATCCTGCAGCTTCTTGTCATCTTGCCAAAGGGCCGCAGAACTCCAATCAAAACCAAAACAATGGACAAAATTCAAAGCCGCAAGGAATTATAGAGCGTTTTCACTCACGTGACCAGCAGCCATGCAAATTTATTGGAACAAAAGAAGTGTTTACGTAAGAAAAGAGTTCAACTCTCACAGGATTGGTTTGGTACACCAACTTGGCCGCTGTTTCATTGTCTTTGAACACCAATATGGCTGCCGTGACGTGATGTGAAAACGCTCTATGAACACCCCAGATAGACCCAGATAGTCATTAGGGAATTTAAGAAAACCACGATGGCAACGGCAGCGGGAACGTCGCTAAACAAAAGATTTTATGAAGAGAACAATGGATGTGCACGTGCGTTATAATTCTTGGTACATTTCTTTGCCGTCCTCTGCAAAACAGCAACGTGAAATGACCAAATTCTGCGTTGCCAGTGGAAAACGT